TTTTTTTTTTTTTTTTTAAGATGTATTTATTTATGCATACAGAGCTGGGGTACAGGCCAGAGATGCAGCGACGGGAAAGGATTCACAGGGACAGAGTGGGGAGTAAAACAGGCCGAGTGACGAAGTACCCTGCTCAGGGGAGCAGTGGGCCCCATGTGGATCATCTCTGGGGCAGGCAGGGATCTAACTCATGCTGAAGTGGCTTTAGCTTCTTAGTGCTGTGCTTTAACCCACTGTGCCACCAGGGAGGACCTGGGAGGCTTATTCCTAAACAGAATTTTTATCACCTGGAAACTTAATAGAAATGCAGGCTATCAAACTCCACCTAAAATCTATGCAGAAACTCCAGAGGGAGGCCCCAACAATCTGTATATTAACAAATCATTCAAATTAATCTATGCCAGAGTTTGAGACCTGCTCATCTAGAATTAGGACTCTGAAGCTTATTGTCATTAGACAACATTTTGATTACTTGGGAATTTTGATGGCATCTGAATGATAAAACAATAATAAAAGTCCCGAAATCAGTTATAGCATTAGTTAATTTTGCTCCTTTTCATGATAAATGGTTCTCTAGTAACTAAAAATATTTTCTAAGCTAGGAACAAGGCAATTAGTAAGAGTAAATTAAAAATAAACCTTCAGTGACACTCCCAAATTTGAGAGATAGAGTCCTAAATGACAAAGTGAAAACCTTAACCTCCAATAACTCAGAAGATTTGTATATGGAAAGTGGCCTTAGGCTTTCTAGGCCCCCTTTTGTATATTAGTCATCACTTGGGTCCCCCATAATGATGATCAGAGTGGGATATTTTTTGGGTATCTGTTCCCAAAAGCTGCTGTGTACCTTTAGAGCCCTGTGACATTCTCCAGAGGTTATTCTAAGGAAAGAGTTGTTATATTTAATGGTCTGCTCTATAGCTGAATCCCTCCATTCACAGATGCCAGATCAAAAAAGCTTTTGGAGGGCATCCTTATGAGTGGAAAGACGAAAATCACTTGGCATTTCATGCACCATTGTACTAAATGTTACAAGCTCTGCGCTGTTCACTCAATGGGATAGCATATTACGGCATGCCTTACTTCAAAATGATTCCATAAATGTCAGATAAACATGAATCCATCCAAGACACCTGCATAGAATAGAAAAATCATTTAGAAACACATTTAATATGAAAGACTTCCATAAACAAAGGAAAGGTATGTATGAAATTTGAAAACATAATTAGATATTTAGCATCAAATCAAAGCTAGTATTTGGCTCATTATTCAGAAAATACATTGGAAAATGAATCAAATCACACCCTCTCCAAAACCACTAATAGCTTGTACCTATAAGGGCAGAGTTGCCTACCGTATATAAGTCTTCATCTTAATAGTGCCTGAAGTTAAATAATAAATCTGGGTCTGTGTTTCACCTGTGTCCACTGGTTATGGGTTTGTT